GCTATTAACCAATCCTTTGATTTTTTGGTGCTTATGTAGCCTAGTTCATAGATTAAGAATAAGTCCTGCTTGAAATTATATATGAGAAGAACTGCCCGTGACAACAACACTGTGGCTTATGTTACTTTAGTACCCCTCTCTGTTTGTGGGTGTGTGTGAGATAGCTCAATTATGGCATATGCATGTATTGTGTGATAGGCTGGGAAAGGTGGGGATTTGACACATGATGAGACAACTATCATTGCTGGGGCACTGGAATTGACCGAAAAGACTGCAAAAGATGCCATGACCCCAATATCGAAGGCATTTTCCCTTGATCTGGACGGAACTCTTACTTTGTGGGTTTATGGCTTGTTTTCATTCTCTGTTGCAAATTATGCATTTTGTTTTATGCTCCAACTTTTCAATCTCCCTCTCTTTCTCTATTCTTGCTATCACAGGGAAACCTTGAATGCAATAATGACAATTGGCCACAGTAGAGTTCCTGTTTACTCTGGAAATCCAACAAATATTATTGGACTTATTCTGGTACTTTCTTTTTTCTTTTATGTTATCATGATGCCTGCTGTCGATGGAAAACCATGGTTGCATACCATGTCTCTCATTTGTTTTAGACTAGTTCCAAAATTCCTTCGCCTAATGTGCATTGCTATGGTAGTCCATAAACAGGAATTTATATATGTACATTCACTTGGTTGCAGTAAGTAGATTGCTAAGGGAGTCCCATTTTTTATTTACTCCGAAGACATCTGGTAATGCTGCGGGGTAAAAGAAACTAGTACAAAAGACAAAATGCTAATGGATAAGCACAGCATATTAAGATTTAAAAAGGGCTGTTATGCATTAAGTTGGGCAAAATATTGTATGGGTCTGATTATTATTGTACTAAGCAGAAAAGTTAGGCATTAGCCATTAGTCTTGCCCAAAATCATTGTCCTCGCTATTTTTTTAGTTGCATGTGAAAAAAAGTCGGTCAGTTGCTTGACAGTGTGTGCGGAAGTATTACATATGGAAAAGGATAAAATAGAGAAGAGATACAATGATTTTTGTTTGTTCACTGTTATTCTTGATCCTCATGTGAATATTGGAACCTCAACTGGGTTTTGGAAGCTTGTAATATCAACATTAACTACAACTTTCATTATTAGGCCTTGTCATTTACCTGTTGCCACTCGCAAGACATGATTATGAGAAACGGTTACATTAGATTGACTGTAAACTTAAAACCTTTGGTCAATATGATAATCTTGAATCCTCAATTATTAGGCATTAGTAGAAAACATTTCATGGACTGTATAACAAAATTACTCAAATGTACATGTATAATTGGCTCCAATTCTAGTATTGCTTATCAAAGTTTGTGAAGTTGTAGTTCATTAAATTTGAATGCCACTCATTTGTATAATAATATCAGAAAATAAAATGTGGTAACTTCTTCATGGTTTCTCTCTAGGCTTAATTTGTCCAGTCTTGACACATGCAGGTTAAAAATCTCTTAACAGTTGACCCCGAAGATGCAGTTCCACTGAGAAAAATGATGATAAGAAAAATTCCTAGGTAAGAATGACCTCTTTTCTACTTTTTCCTTATCTTGTGCAACATACACAGTTGCATATGATTTTAGAGGAGATATTGCCTTTATAGAACAGGATATCCCGAAAAGGTTTGATGAGCTATTTGGAATAAGGATTTGTCGAGTTTGCATGTGTTGAACACTACCTCCCCACCCAACAAATCTATCAGCTAGTTTACCATGTTTATTCGTAGTTTTTGCAAGCAGGGCATAAGTCGCAAAATTTGTTTCCTTTGTTATCATCTATATTTACCAGTGGTGGAAGTATGATACCACTGAGTCTTGTCTTTCCTACTTGAGTAACATGAAGAACTATTACCAAATCTTCTTGCCAATTTTATGGGAGCATGGATGAAAGTGAATATCAACTTTGGTTTAGGGTTGTTATAGGGTTGTCAATGCAAGTATAACCAGGGTCTAAGGCTTGTCTTGCTTTCATTGGTACAGATTTGACCCAATCTTGCATAGATGCGGAAAAGATGCCATCTTGAATTGTGTGATGATTTGGGACCTCAGAGTATCCTTCCTTATACCTCTCTCTCGTGGAGTATTACCATGCCATCCTCATACTTAAAGGCTGCCAAATGGCAATTATATGCATGACTTGTTGCTTTGTTGAAATGGAACACGGGGTCAAATGTCATCCGTCATATTTATTGCACAGTGTGTTGCCTATAGTTTCCCTACCATCATAGATGGCATTCCACCTGCACAATATGATTAATGCTGTAAGAATATGGCTAATCCTGTGCTGCAATAGAATTCCCATTTCTGTTTTGAAGTAGTAACTTTGTAATACTCCATAGCTTCTGAATACTTTCATGATATTACATTGATTGTGCATGCGTGTTTGATTGCTTTTTTGTTTTCTTACCTTGCTTTACATTTTTCAGGGTTTCAGAAGACATGCCTCTTTATGATATTCTGAATGAATTTCAGAAGGGTCACAGCCACATTGCTGTTGTATTTAAAGATCTGAACGAGAGAAAAGATACACCACAGAAAACTAAAGAGGGTGAAAACTGCAAGTCCAATAATGAATATGATATATTTCATAATCTGTTTTCTTTAGAGATTTCCATTTTTTATTTTAGTGCTACAGTATTGACTTTTGTTTACTCCTTTCTCTTCTAATTTTTAAATAAATCTCAGTTTAACTCTTTCAGCTTTGTGTGTTTCATTTTTTGACGTTTTCTACAAACAAGCCTCAGCTCACCTGATTCTTACCAATTATGCTTAAACTAGCACTGTCTATTAATTGTGATCTACAAGTATTGAAACTGCGAACCTGGCATTCTTTACCTGTATCTAGTTTCATTGAATACATATTTCTGCTTGTTTGGTGGTATTGGAACATGATATGGTGGGTCCTATTGCAGATACTCAGAATGTGGGCATTAAAACTGACTCACAGGATGCTGACACAGCTGTGATTAAGACTGATGGAGATAAACCGTTAATGAAAAGTCCTTCAACTACTCCTTCCTTCAAGAAAAGGCACAGAGGTTGCTCGTTTTGCGTCTTAGATTTGGAGAATGCTCCTGTTCCAGATATCCCACCCGATCAAGAAGCTGTTGGTGTAATCACCATGGAGGATGTCATTGAGGAACTTCTTCAGGTACAGAGTAGAAATTTGAATTCTTCAATATGCACGCAGAATCATGACAAGCACACATGGGACTCGTACACATGTTTAGAAGTCATTATTGGCCCTTCTCTTTTATACAGCTACCTACATAAATATCATTGAAGTTGATGGGACCATAACCATCCCTTATGTCATGGAGCTAACTGCGTGGACTGAATTCTTTATATCTACTCTGTTAAATTGGAGCACGTGCTTGAGAACAAAGTTTGAAGATGGTGTTGCACAAGATTATGGTATTTAAAAATATCGGGTCATAACAATCTAGTTCTGCTTTGCAGAAGAACCTTTTTATGTTTTGAAGAATTGGAGTGCATTCTTGTCAATTTAGGCCAAAAAAAGGAAATAAAATAGAATTACAGGACTGGTGTGGTCATCCTGTGGAAGTGATGGTTATGCCTTGTATATACTGAAGGATAATTTTTGGATTGCTTGCTATAAGAATTGAACTCTTGACTCTCCCCTCTCCTTTGGATGCCATGCCAGCACTTCAAGTCCTAATTGCAATGTCTTAACTAGAAATACTTACTGTCTTATCTTTTGATGCCAGCTTGAAAGGGAACTGCTCTTCAAATTGTCTGCTTGAACCACCTTTACTAACCCTTCCAATGCCACTTTTAACTTCTTCCTGACAAGAGTGTAGCTTAGAAGCAGTTGTGTTATAATATATTACCACCAGTGTAGCCTAAGAAGCAACTGTGTTATGGTTTATATATATGCACTTGCAATCATGAGATCAAATGAATAACTCAAGTATTCCTCATGAATGGCTTGTTCTTCTGGTTTGCTTGGGTTAATCAGTTGACATAGATATAACCGGTGTAGCTTAAGAAGCAGCTGTGTTATAATATATTACCACCAACGTAGCCTAAGAAGCAGTTGTGTTATGGTTTATTTACATCAGACCTGCCGGTTGACTTTCCAATAACATGGGAGTTAATTGTTGTGAGGTAGCATTTCCAGTATCTAACCAATATAATGCATATGGGACCCTTAAACTGAAGGGTATCTTTTATATTCCTGTTGCTAACGCATTTACTTACGCATTTTATTATTTCTGTCATTAATCTGTTTTATTTACGCATTTTATTATCTCTGCACTTTATTTCTGCATTGCTTTTATTTAAATAAACTAGTTATCAAACTAAGCTCACACCACAAGCTATAAAACAATATTCTGCTTCAAACAACACTTTTAATTTTTTATTTTATTTTATTTTATAGTCTAAATTACTAAACTCTTTGTGGGATCAATACTTGAACTTAAAATCGAGAAAACTACAATTTGACCACTTATACTTGGGTGTACAATATAATATAATTCAGACCACTAAAAAGTGTGAATCAACCCTCTTTCCTGGTAGTTTTGATGTCAATCCTTTCCTGAAATACACTCAGCAAAAAAAAATACACCTGTTATAGTGACTATTGCACAAGTTACATGTGTTTGGAATCTAGTTAACAAAGCAAATAATTTCACATGTAGTAATCAAAAGAACGGTTAGTCAAATAAATTGAAATTTGACATAATCTCATGAAGGAATATTAACACTATATTAAATATACTATTTACATTTTTCTTTTTAAATTGATAGAACTAATACAACTATATGATTTCTGAAATCAAAAAGGACTTTATTAGGGTTGTAATGTGGCCATAGGGTTAAGGTTTATGAAACGATGTCATTGGATTTCAAATGCTATCTTTTAGCATTGTGGCACACCTCATTCTATTTTTCTAGGAATTCACATGTTTCTTTTTTTTTTTTCTATTTTTTCTATTTTTCCCATTTTTCACTTTCTGGCTTTTTTCTTTCTTTTGCTTTTCTTTTTTAGATTTTTCTTTTCTTTGAATTGTAATCATTATTTTGACTGATCTTGTTTTCTTCTGCCTTTTCTAATTTTCTTGCTTTTTTGTATCCTACTGATTTAGAAGAGGGTGCAAGAAAATTAGATAGCAAAGGTAAGTTAATATCTTTTTATCTAGCTTGGGTATTTCTTGGGTTTTAAGAAAGGAATATATTTTATTTCAAGCTCAATCATGGCTGACTAAGGATATAATTTTGTAAAAGAAATGATCAAGACTCAAGATCTAATCAAACGTGGCTTAAGATCATTTCCCATAAATCATATATATGTATAATTTCTGCATGAAAGTTAAGGATAATGCTAATAATACAATTTAATAAGCGCTAATCAAAACAAAGTCAATGAGATTATTCAAGAAAAGTTTACCACTGAATTGAAGATTTGTATTTGAGTAGATGTAGAGTATCTCTCCAAGAAAGATTGGTTCAAAATCTACAATAGGTTTTACATCTCTACTATATATGCAAAGAGTGTAATATTTCACAAGATTTTTAACAATAAAGAAATTTAATTGTACTTTTAAGACTAAGTTTAAACAAAAATATTAAGATAGTACACAAATAAAATATGAAAATCCCGCATGATCAGATTAAGAATGCTTCTACAAAACATAGGAATATTAACCTAATTTCACTGTGAATCATATGAACTAGTCTTCCTAATTTTAACAATATAGGTTCTAACTTTAGCAAAAACAAACTTAAACACACATTAGTTCAAAACAAACAAGTTTAAAACACACATAAATCCAAGACAAATAAGTCTAATGCAAACAAGTGCAAAACACAAATTAAAGTTCAAGTGTATAAGTAAAAGTGCATAATTAAAAAACTGAGTGAAAGATAACAGTGTTTTTTTTAGTAGAATCTTTAGTTTTTTTCTTCTAGGACCTCCTCCAAAACGTTCTCTTAGTAGCTTCAAGATTTCAACTTGATTTTGTTCATAATCCTCCATACGTTTGTTGATATCTGTGATACTGTTACCAAGTTGGGTGACAGTGGTCTTTAATCCTAGCAAAATCTGTCGGTCAATTCTGTCATCCACCGGTATGTATGGTTGATCCTCTTGTGGCTGCTGTTGTTTTGGTGGAATGAATTCTTCAAGGCCTTGAAATGGCTCCTCTTGTGCTGGAGGGGGTACCTCTGGTTGTTTTTCTTATTGTCCTCCATGACTTTTTCTCAATGAAGTTTTTTCTAATGGGCCAAAATGGTCTACAGTCTTCCATGTTGGGTTGATAATCACACCTTTGTTCCTACAAAGCTGAGAAACTAGCATAGCATAGGGGAGTGAAGATTTCTTCCTATCCACAACAAGTATCATTTGATTCAGGATTAAATTCGGTAGATCGATGGTATGGCTCATTCTGAATGCATATAGAAAATAAGTTTGCTCAGTGTAGATTTGATTTTTTTGGGCACGGGGTAATAAACTGTGTACTGTGATCAAGTTCAGAATTTGATATTTATCCATCAGGTCTCCTTGCTTGATATACTTATTCAGTCTACCCCAACCAAATTCTAGATTACCTGTCACCTCTCTCCCTATGGTATCTAAATCAGGTAAATTAGTGTACGGATATTGCGGGTTTTCAGGTCTTTGCATGGGTTGAAAAAAATCGGCTGTAGTAGTCGGTGTAACTTGAAAAATAATACCTTGTCCAAATACCCGCAATTGTCTTTCCCCAAATAATTTTAGCATTACTATAGAATTCTCTAACTAGATAATCATAAGCAGGAACTGTAACCATCCTCTAGTTGCAAGAATTTGACGTACGCTTATATTCTCAAAATCTTTGTAAATAATCGGCCTTTCTGAAATAATAGTTTTATTCATAAAATTAGCATCGTACCAGGCCTGTTGTTCAAAATTCTCAAACATCATCTCATTGAAGATATTTCCCGGTCTCGGTTGTTGTGGAGGTGCTTGAGATTGCTCAGATTGATCTCTTTGTGCCCAACTTGAGGATCCTCTCATTCTGTCTCGAATCCATTTTTCTTGATTTCTTCGCAAATGCTCCATTTCAGTTGATTCCAATCGGTAGTTACCTTCAAAATATGATTGGTAAGAGAATAATCAGAATAAATTTGAAGAAAAACTGTGAAATATTACAGATTTGAGAGAGATTTTCCTTGAGAATTTTGGCTATGTTTGAAATTTTGAGTTGATGGAGTGCACTGATCAATTTGCATGGAGAAATAGTTTTTATAATGAGGTCACACCATCTAGAAAGTTGGCCCACCATCTGGACGGTCCAATAGTTTGGTTTTTTGCTCTTTTGACTGCATTTTGTTATTTTGTTGTATTGTATTTTATTCCTCGAAATTTCTTCAGTACACAAAATTAAATAATTTTATATTCTACAAAACTTTGCTAACTACTCCTTTTTTTTCTTGTCACAAAAATTTGTGGGTTTTTATTTATTTTATTTGTTATTTCATATTTACTGATTTTCCTAATTAGTCTATAGTTATTTACATTTATTTATAAATATTTATAAATATTTACAAGTATGTACAATTCTTCCAAAAGTCATGCTCACACTGGTTTAGAATCAAAACTGTCTGGATCGACACGGTTAACTTCATTTCGTACGTATCTTGTTAACATTGGGGTATAATAGGATGGTGTTTCAAGGTAGTCCTTACTTTGCCCATACCTAATCCACCGGAGACGATCTAATACTCGACCTAAAATTGGTTCCGCACACTAATTATATTGTCTTAAATATTGTAAACAACCACATCTTACACAATCACCGAGATGATCGGCGCCTCGATTTTTGCAAATGTAATTTTTCAGCATAAAGGTCTTGATTGACTTTCAAAAATTTCTAAATTTCTGACTCTTCTGGCTTTTTTCATAATCAATGCATTGATATCTTTTGGAAGCTGACACAATAGAATTAAACTTAACCAAAATAATTTTTCATCCGTTATACACATAATTTATTTATTTTTTACTCTCTATCTGGTTCTTTAATGTCTGCCAGTCACAAAGAAAAAATTAACATTGATATTAAAACAAAAAAATATTTTAAATATAAATACTATAATTATCTCCTTATCTCCCCAACTTAATTTAAACATTATCTGAAATGTAACAACAGTGATAGTTAATATTGATAGGGAAATCCGACAATCTTTTGTCATTTCACCGATTGAGATATCTGGATGTACTCAGGAGATACTCTGTCAAATAAATTACAATTCATTAGTAATTTTATTGGGATTTAAGCAATAATTTATTTTTTAGAGCATATAAACAGGATCAAAAAGTTGTACAACAGTTATTTCTTGAGTAAATCCATCATAATAAGGTTTAAGTCTTTGACCATTGACTTTAAAGATATTTTCAGTTAATGGATTTTCAATATCAATTGCTCCATAGTCAAAAACTTGTTTGACAATGTAAGGACTTGTCCATCTTGATCTTAATTTTCCAGGAAATAAATTTTGTTTTGCATTATATAATAGTACTTTTTGAGATGGTTCA